TTAGGGTGTAGGGTTTAGGGCCAACCCTGACGAGACATTTCTGTAGAATGCTTACTTTCTTCATCCCGACACCTTCCTACGTAAGCTGAAAAGTACATCGGATTTCGAAGCTTGTTGCAAGCAAGGGGCCGCCCCAGGCCCTCCGCAGCATTCCTCTGCAAGGGTTTGAGGGTGGATAGAATGTAGGGATTATAGTGATTCCCTAAACCCTAAATACCCTAAACCCTAAAACCCAAACCCTAAACCCTAAACGAGGAGGTGGAAGGATTGGGCTCCGAACGGTCTCAACAGTGGAGGCTGTAAGTAGATCCGGCTTGGATGTTCGCGGTGTTCAGGCAACCTACTGCTTCTACTTCTGCCGCCCCACGATTCCAAAACAGTTAGAAGGATAACCCCGGGACGGGCAAACAACCCAACAGCAACGGCTGATGACGACGTTCTTGCATTCCTGCAGCATGGTATCTTACATGCAGGCCTGTAATACGATGAGCTGCATAAACAGTTGACGCCCCCGCATTCGAGAGCATTAGGTCATCATAACCAGGAACTGCTCTCAAGCAATGCATCGTGAACTTAGTTCGCATTCTCACAAGTGTGCAGCGTGTCTGTTTCGTCTGTCTAGGACACCCAGCTTCAACGTGGCACTTTAACAATGCTCCTCTTCCACTCGCCAATGAAAACATCCCCGTCGGCATGCTCGAACTTTCCCTGGCCTGCCGGGAGGGGTGGACATGCACAAAGAAACTTTGGTCCATAAGATGCAACGAAGTCAGAAAAGAACCCGCGCTGCAGCACTGTTTGCTGTGGGGGCCTCTGAGGGTTTTCGGGGTATGATACTGTGATGATGTGGGAGTTTCAGAAAATTTGGGTACCTTATTTTGGGGTCCTTATAATAGGGATCCTATTATTTAGGGTACTATATTAGGGTCCCCTATTCTCGGAAACCCCCATGTTGAACAGCCCAAAGGATTCCGTTTTTTTTGATGGGGTGGTCTTGGGAATAGGGCTGTGAAGAGCGGCGCCTTTTTCCAGGACCCTGAACTGAACTATAATGACACAAGGGGTGCCTTTCCCGAAACGCCGACTTCGAAACCGAACATGAAGTTTCCGAACCTCAAAGCCCACAAGCGCCTAGAAAGCCGAACTGCTGCAACGGCCCGAAACCCACAACCTGCGCAGAACCCCAATCAAAAGTATCTTCACCCAGAGGCCCCATAGTAGTTCCTTTTTTGGGGTTCATATGTAGAATCCTACATAGTAATCCCCAAAATGAACATCCTGGTAAGGCCCCCAGGACCTTAAACCACAGCAGCTTTGAACACGCATTGAACCCGTATAACCTGGCAGTATAAGAAAATGAAAGAAACCTCATAGGACCGTCGAACAACGCCTGTAGAAACCCTGAGCGGGCCCCACAAGAACATTTGCACCACTCCTGCCTTGTAAAACCCCTGCTAAACCCCAGAACTCTAAATCCTAAACCCCACGACCCCCCAACTCCACAAGAACAGCTTTCCTGAGACAAACCCTCTAAGCCCTGAACCCTTAACACTAAACCCAAACCCCTAATCCCCGAAATCGACACGTGTAATTCTGTGTGTGGCCCTCAAACCGCCGGCAGTGGCCTTCGGCCAGGTTCTCGTTCCAGCAGCCTGTGAACCTGAAAGAGCGGAGATGCCCCCATATACATATATATATATATACACACATACATATACATATAGATATAGATATAGATATACATATACATATACAGTCATATACATACAACCACATAAATATAAACAAACATGTGTGAATGTATGCACACATACATACAAACAAACAAACAAACATACATACATGCATACATACATACATACATACATACATACATACATACATCTACATACACACACATCTACATACATACATACACACATACATACATACATATATACATACATACATACATACATACATACATACATACATACATACAGACATACATACATACATACATACACATGTACATATACATACACATATAGTATACACATACACATACATATACATATACATAAAACCACATGCATACATATACATACATCTACAGACATAGACATACATATACATACATACATGCATACATACATACATAAATACATTAATACAGTAATATTTGATAGGGAAAGCGAGATACTTGCTTACATATACAGGTATTTAACTGTAGCCGTGTAAATCTATATGTACACTATATATATATATGAGTTTACACATGTGTGTATATATATATATATATGTATGTGTGTATGTATGTATATATATATATATATTATGTGTGTGTGTGTGTGTGCGTGCGTATGGGTTGCGGACTTGGGGTTTAGGAGTTTAGGGTTACGTATAAACAGGTTTAGGTCATGAGTTAATGCTTTTGCTTGGGGCTTGGTAGGGCTTTCTAAGATAAGGAATTCGAAGAGCTTCTGAATGGCTGTATAAGGGCATAGACGACCTTTGGTGGTTCGACGAGAGTCATGATTCCTGTAAGGTGGTTAGGAGGGTCGACAGACGTATGATAGGGTTGTTGCAAGGGTTGGGGATTTTGGGTTTTAGGCCTGAGGGTTTAGGGTTAGAGTATTGGGGGGTTGTGGTGTTTAGGGCTTCTCTTTTTGCTAGGGTTTAGGGCCGTTCAGGGTATTGGGCCCTAAAGCCTAACCTTGGCTTTTTGGGTTTGGGATTCAGGGCTCGGCACATGCGACATCTCCCAGCTGATTTAAAGGCCCCGTCTGAATGCGTAACGGAATAGGCAGTCCCGCATTATGAAGAGCCTATCACGAAAGCAGCGATTCCAATGAATCTCGTGCTTGAAGCTGCTACCCTTAGCCCGCAAGTTAAGTTGCGGCCTAAGGATGAACATGTCGGAACCAGAATGTGAGCACAGCGCCTGTTGAAGCTTCTCGCAACCGAGCTGCCTACACTGAGTCCTCAAGCAAGTCCGACCGAAACCGCATGCGACCCCCCAACTGCAGACCTGTTGCTTTAATCCCTCACCACTTCTCCGAACCTTGACTCATATAACCTTAAGAAGCCTCAAACATAAACCACTGTCACAATCCCCGATCTAAGCCCAGAAACACCTCGCCGCAACCAAACAAAAGAATGGCCCAAAAGCCCGAAACGCTGAGAACCCTAACCCTAAACCCTAAACCCCTAAACCCTAGACCCTAAACCCTAAACCGTAAACTCTCAAGCGCCGACCCCCTCCTCGAAGACCGAAAGCCCCGAATCCTACACGACCCCACGCTCTACAGACCCGTCGAAGCCAAGACCGACCCCAAACCCAAAACCTTAAGCCCTAGGGTTTAGGGTTTAGGGTTTAGGGTTTAGGGTTTAGGGTGTAGGGTTTAGGGTTTAGGGTTTAGGGTTTAGGGTTTAAACCCTGAGCCGTAAGACACGAGATAAACACTAAACCCGACACCCCTAGACCCTAAATCCTAAACTCTTGAACCCCAGACCCTAAATGCCCCTCTGTTCCTTCTGACATGGCTATGGCTGAGAGGGGCGCCTGGCCCCGTCGGGCCACACCTGGCTGTTGAGCCAGTGGGTAGTTCTCTAAATTCGGCTCTTTTCTTAGACCCCCAAAATACTACGGCACCCTGAAGCATGAAAGGGATCCTAAAGGGACCCAAATTTAGACAGCTGCCCCTCAAGAACCCCTTCTAGTACCCTTATAGATCCCTTCAAGTAGCCCTAACAGGGAGCCGACGAAGTTAGAGAAGTAACCCATTAACCCTGGTCTAGAGAACAAGCTACACAAATCCTCAACTCTCAACCTGAAGCTCTTTTTATCCCTAAACCCTCTAAACCCTATAAACCCCATAAGCCCTGCAAGCCCTATAAACCCTATAAACCCTATAAGCCCTATCCTAAGCCCTACGCTCTAAGCCAAAAGCTGTAGACTCATAGCCCTATGCCCTAAACCCTAAACTCTCAACCCTAAGCTCCAAGCCATCAGCCGTAAACTCCAAGCCCTCAGCCCTAAACTCTAAACCCTATTGAAGCCAAAAGCCGTCAACTCGAAGCCCTGAGCCCTAAACTCGCCACACCACAACTGGCTCCCTGTTGGGGCCATATTAAAAATGATCATTGTTAATCCTTATTGGCTTTTATTATAACCAAAATGTAAAATTGCGTCCAACAAGGACCCAAACAAAACGGCTCAGAACCAGAGCCTGGGTGCCGAGACCATGCCGGGCCTTTGCATCTCGTGGCTTCGGGTCGTGCTGGCTCGGTTTAGGGATTTCGGGCTTAGGGATTTCGGGCTTAAGGTTTATAGCGCTTAAGCAGGTGCAGGGTTTAGAACTTAGAGTTTCAGCTTGAGGGTTTACATTCAGTTTTTTTGGGTTTTACTGATGGTTAAGGGTGCTGGGTTAAGATTTCTGTGGCTGCTTGGGGCTTTATGTCTTAGAACCCTGGGTCACGGTGTACGGATGTGGGGTGCTGCAGGTATTTCGGGTTCAGGGCTCAGGTTTGAATCAGAAGGGCTTGGGGTTCAGGATTTCAAGGTTCAGGGTTCAGGGTTTAGGGTTTAGGGTTTAGGGTTCAGGGTTTAGGGTTTAGGGTTTAGGGTTTAGGGTTTAGGGTTTAGGGCTTCGATATTCGGAGCTTTGGTTTTGAAGCGGGCTCGCAACTCACGTGTTCGGCTCCCACGAGCATATTCGCGGAAGTGTGCTTGCCCCTTCAAGCTGCGGGGTTGAGCCAAGCTCAGAGTGTTTTCATCTCTTCTTTTGGCGCAGCACGTCGGACAAGATGAGGGCTCATCAACATTGGCCTACCTTTGTCCAGCCGCCGTTTTTTCAATTACTCAGAATCAGCTGGTTCGTTAGGCTGCTGGGTTTACAGACAAGCCGGTCCCCACACAGGGCTCAACCTACTAACTGCCAAGACACGAGCCAAGAATACGAACATGGAGATTCATACTTCGTACTAAATAAGTATCATGCATGTTGATATTTTCGTATTACTATTCATAGGCCTGGCATGAGGGGGAAAGTGCAGCAAAGGCGCATTGTTGCGCCACTGCCCACGGTAAACCGCACCGCTCCTTCTGAGCAACAAAGGCGCAATCCATTCTAGCACTCCTTTCCACTCCGACCTTACCACTGTATTGTATCTCGGGGCAAGCATGATTGAATGGACATGTGCCAGAATCCCCAAAGGCCAGCAGGAAAAAAGGAGGGTACAGGGGAAGTCCCGTCCTGAAGGCGTACTCCAAGCTGTCCCCGTTCAGGATAACCCGCTGATTCTGCAAAAGGCTCGGCTTCTCAGAAGGCGTTCGGGACGGATGGGTGGCTTTGTTCGGAGTTTCGTTCGATCTACGGCACCGAAACCTTAAAGACACGGTCCTTGCGAGCCTATGTAGACTGATATCTAGAGCAGTATACTTGAAATATACTTGCAACCGGAAACCCGTGAGCCACATCCTAGCTCCTTGGCAGTGATCTTACTTGACCCTGAAATGAAACCACACCTGAAACACATTGAAACACTGAACTCTTGGTTTGAATCCGACGGCGCTGGAGCTCCGGTGGAACAGTCAATGGAGGAGCCAGGTGTTGTGGTGATATGCATGGAGATTTTCGTTTTTCCCATGAAAATTTGAACAAGCGCCCATCGGGTGATTAAGCAAAGCATTGCAGGATCCACGCCGCACTCCCCTAAACCCTAAATACCAAACCCCCTTGAAGTTCATGCCTTACCTCGACCTCCCGAAACCTGGCAACCATGTGATACTGACGGCAGGACATGGGAGTTTCCGAAATAATGGGTACTTTATTTTGGGGTCCTTATAACCAGGATCCGACTATTTAGGGTACTATATTAGGGTCCCCTATTTTCGGAAACCCCCACATGCTATTCCTGTGTTCATGCGAAGGCCCGACTCATGCCGGCAAAAATTGTCAAGCTAAGTGATAAAATTCAGCACCAGGCTTTAAGATCCCAAGAAAGCTCGACAGAGTTTGGCTAGTCTCCAAGCGCACACTATGCAATTGTGACACTAAGCCCGTATAATGCCTATGATTTCGGGTTTAGGGTACCCAGGCCAAAACCCCAGCAATGCCTAAGCCTCAACCACCCCCAAGCGTCAAGCCTGAACCGAAGTAAGGCTCCCGATAGGCCCGATAGTAGTTCCTTTTTGGGATTACCTAATAGGATTCTACTCATGAACCCCAAAAAGGAACTACTATGGGGCCTATGGGTCAGCCCCATCGGGCCTGCATTTGTAACAGCTCCGCAAGGTCTCGACCGAGGTAGCTCTCGAACGAATCCTCCTGGATATAGCCCCTTAAAACCTACACCCTGGCTTGTTGCAGGCTGTAGGGCTCCAGCTTCAAGTTGCCTATGACCTACAGTTAGCAAAACCCTAAACCCTAATCCCTAAACCCTTAACCCCTAAACCCTTAACCCTAAACCCTTAAGCCGTTAGTATCGGAGCAGGTGTAGGATTTGTGGCTCGGGGACGAGGTAGCCGAGAGTTTAGGCGCCCAGGGACTCGGGCTCTTTGACCTCACGAACTCACGGACCATGTTCAGAGTTTAGGGGTTACCCAGAGGCCCCATAGTAGTTCCGTTTTGGGGTTCATCTTTAGAATCCTATAAGGTCCCCCGAAACCCTAAAGCCTAAACCCTAAACTCAAAGCCCTAAACCCTAAACCGTAAACTCAAAACCCTAAACCCTAAACTCAAAACCCTAAACCCTAAACCCGAGACTCCAAAATCGTCCGAGGCCCTTGCCTTCGTCTCTGGACGGTGGATGGCCATGGCAGTGTGGCTGCCCTTCGCCGTGTTCGTCGGGGCCTTGGGGGGGCTCTCTTCCTGTACTGCATAGGCCTATGTGGGTATGCTTTGGGGTGGAAGACAGGGCTCAGAACCCCCTAAACCCTAAACCCTAAACCCACATCCATGGGAGTAGTACTATATTTGTTTGTGCAACGTTAGAAAATTTGCATATTGAACAGGCTCAGGGTTTGGCGGCAGCATAGTTCAGTGCTGCGTCTCCGAACTTCAACGAGCATGTGTACCTTGGAATGAATTCTTCATGGCAGCAGCAAGGGGGGTCAGACGAAATTGTAAACACAAATCCGAAGCCCTGAACCATCCTAAACTCCGCAACCCTATTTCCGCATGCAGATGTTCCTTTCTCATCCAAACCCTACTGGGACTGATGGTTTCTCCTCTTCGGTTTACATTGACTTTGATTACATCGCATGTATTGTCAGACTTCAAATTCCTCGGAGAATCGAGTATAACGAAGGGTCGTTATGTTTAGATGAGGTGGTGAGGAGGTAAACTACAACCTTAATCCGGTCCCTCCCCCTAATATGGAACGGGGGGGCCCCCCAATAGAAACTCTGAAAGTGTTGATAGTATTAGGGGGCATTGTTCGTCTCTGCTGCCACTTTTAAGGGGTCGTGCTCCTGCTCCTGCTCCGGCTCTTCCGAGCTGGCTTTTTGCTCTAGCTTTTGCTGCGTCTCTTGCACCTGCTCCTGCTTTTGCTGCTCTTGCTCTTACTCCCGCTATTGCCGTTGCCTTGCTCTTGCTCCCTGCTCTTGCTGTTGCTCCCGCTCTTGCTCCTGCCCTTGCTGTGCTCTAAGGGTCATCTGGACCCGCGAAAACTTCCCCACAATTCGGAACAGGTTTTAAAGGGTTTAGGGTTTAGGTTTTAAAGGGTTTGGGGTTTAGGTTTTAAAGGGTTTAGGGT